CCTGTGTACTTCTCCATTACTGGACAAATAGTGTAGTAGTGCCTGAATCACCATAACATAGTGATATTCTTGCTTTTAGGTGTGAATTTTGGGGCTAGTAAAGTTTGTCAATGCCCATGCTGAATTTACCTGTAATTATATTAACTTTAGAGAATGACCTACAGGATCATGGGCATTTTGTGTGTTTCTATCAATTAGATATGTCCCTATATTTATTTAGATCATTCTTGATGTTGTAATAATTTATTAATTTTCACATAAAGTGTCTAGCATATTATGTTAAACTTTTACACATATGACAGTTTTTTTACTATTCTGTACAGAATCAATTTTCCATATCAATGTTTATTGGTTATTATTGGTACATATTCAGCAAGCTCACCAAATGTTCTCTTTATTTCTCATAACTTATAATTCTCCTACATTACCGTATACATCATTAATAATCATTGTTTCTTATAAATTCTAATTCTAAAATACTCAATTTCCTTTTCTTGTCCTATTACATTACAAAATTTCTATGTAATAGAATTATATTAGGAATGTATCATGTTTCTTCCTTTGGTAACATATTTGGGAAATATAGAATTTGCATGTGATTTTGATACATAAATAGTAGTATGTTACAGTTGTTTCCACCATGTATAGTTCACAAGGAAGTTTAAATCAGCAATAGTTAAACTTCTCTAGTGCACTTTCTGAAACAATAATATGAAAGTTCCTTTTAATGTCTTAATATTTTATGTGATATTGATATTTTCTTATTTTAAATACTACATTACTGGAAAATTTCTTCTTAGTCAACACATTATTTGTTTGTTTGCTTGTTTTTCAAGACAGGATTTCTCTGTTTAAGAGCCCTGGCTGTCCCGGAACTCACTTTTTAGACCAGGCTGGTCTTGAAATCAGAGACCTGGCTGACTCAGTATTAAAAGTGCTGGGATTAACGGTTTGTGCCACCACTGCCTGGCTTAGTCAACATATTTTTAATAGGTGAAAATTTTATATTAAATACAATTTACTCTTATCATAGCCATCCCTCAACATGTCTCCTATTCCTACCACACGACTTTCAATTTCATGTCCTCTTCTTACATCTTTTAATGGCTTATTGAATCTGCTTAGTGTTGCACATTTGTGGAACCATTAGAGCCTGGGCAGTATAGTATGAGACATGCTTTTGAAGGTAACTGACTTGCCTCCCCATAGCAGCCATGGCTGTGACCATAAGACCCTGAATATTCCCAAACTTACCTGTCAACACATTTGTAAACACTAATGTGTTAAGATTGCATACGAAATATCGGGTTTAATTTTGGAATCCTCATACATCATTTTTGTTCCCTAGCCCTATCCCCGATAATCTCCCTCTTCCTCCCCTTCTCACCCTTCAGTAATCTCTCTTCTACATTCTTTCAAATATATTTATTTCCTTTCTTTTTCTCAGGGTGACTTTCTTTCCCTATGATGATCTTTTCTCTAGTTGCATGCAAATACACACACACACACACACACACACACACACACACACACACACACTTCTTTTTGTGTGTCATTTTATAACCCAGCCTGCCTGAAACTTGCTATAGGTCAGGACTCCTCCTCCTAAAATTCCATGATTGTGGTTATGCTCCACCATACCCTGCCTGCTGTCTGTAGTTGGCAGGGAAATATTATCACTTGATTTCTTTTCTCACTGTAGGTAATCTGCTCTTTCCTTTTGGGAAGCTATAAGGAGCTCTGTTTTGTAGTTTCTCTCAAATGTGACTAGTTACATATTGAATTCTAATATCAGTCCTGAACTCATAGTATACACTTAAAATTCAGGATCAAATTCAAGAAAATTCTAAGCCATTCTCTTTCAGGTGATCATTTCATTACTATTATCTCCATTTTCATCTTCTGTAATTTTGCAAGATATATATGGATACTTCTGGGTCAGTTTACCATATCTCAACTGCTGTTTTTACTTCCTGCGACTTTATTTTCTGAATGAATTCCTTAAAATTACCTTCCATGTCATTTGTTTTTCTCTTTAAAATTGAACTATCTTAAGTTGTCCAAACTAATGTATTTTTCTATCAATGAATATGCTTAAAGTTCTTAATATTTTGAATGATTTTCATCTTATTCACTTACTCATATTTTTCAGTTTTTATTTAATATTTCACTGTTTCCTTATACATTTTACTACATTATATTTAACACCTACACATATTTACTTTAAGCCCATTGTTATACTATTCTTTACGATAAAATTCATCTGAACTGAAAGTAATCGATTTTATTGGTTGTTCTCCTTGATGTTAGCTTTCTTGATGTACTTTAGAATTTTGTCTTTAAGTTAATGCAGATCATAGGGCTTTTTTTTTCTTTTTCTTGTTTTTCTTTTCTTTCTTTTTTTGCTTCTTGTCTCCCCCTGCCCCCCCCCCACTCACTGCATCTTACAAATGCCTGGATGGTGACTTTGCAGATCACTCTGTCTGGATCCTTGAGTTCCTGCTGCCCACACCCATCTTTACAGTGAGAATTCAATGTCCTCTCTGAAGGAATATTTTTTCATTAGGCGATGTCTTCATCTCCTTCTCACAGGGTTTAGAGTACTATTTGATCATTAGGTGACAATTGGACAAACATTTAGCACCTTCTTGCTGTAGTAGGGCTGAGTATCCAGCCACATGACTCTGCTTCTGAATTTCATATCCGCATAGCCTGTGACTTTAACACTATTCTCATCCATTGATTCCATTTCTTTACATAAGTAATTATCTTTTTAAACCTATGCCCCTTTGTTTTTCTTATTTATATTATACTGAATGTTTTGTCTTAGAAAACGTTTTTTTATTTTATACCACTTTGATGTATATAAATATGTAATTAATTTATATTTCATATATTTATAATGTTATTTTATCATTATTTTATGAGCTTACTTACATATGTGCTTATTTATTTGAAGTACTATGGATAGAGCCAAGAGCTTCATACATGCCAAGTACTGTATCATAAAATTTCATTTTCAAACTAAGCACCTTTTATATATGTGTGCTCACATGTTCAGGTGTGGTGGTATGTGTATGCAGAGGCCTGAGGTAACAGCAAGCACCTGCTTCCATTGTTCTCCACCTTATTTATGAGACAGGGTCTCACCTCTTTATTATACGTATCATTTAATAAGATAATGTAAATTCCAATTATTATTTTATGTAAGTTGTACTTAGCATGTAGTCATATTTGATTCTCTGTTATCATTTTCATTCTGTACAGTAGAAAATTGAGATAAATAGGCTAAATAAATTTGAGAAAAAAATTTAACTAGTAAACATTAATAGTTGAATCCTGATTTCCCTGCTATAAAACAAGTATCCTTATGAAGATTTTGTTTTTAAATTTTGAATTTTTTTTTTTTTTTGGTTTTTGGTTTTTCGAGACAGGGTTTCTCTGTATTGTTTTGGAGGCTATCGGTCCAGCCTGGCCTCTGCCTCCCGAGTGCTGGGATTAAAGGCATGCGCCACCACCGCCCGGCCTGAATATTTGTTTTAATAAATAGCCTGAAATAAGTAATTTCTAGTTTTGTAAAGAATATATCTGGTCTTACCTCACAAAGTTTGCTTCATATTTCTGTTCCTCTGTGCTTTAATGGTTCCTTGGTTTATTCTCTCTCTCTCTCTCCTTCCTGCTATCTTTCTCCTTTGAACTATAACTAATTTGTTTTCTGATTTTTAGAACATAATATATTGTTCAAGTAACAATTACTGTTATTTTTCTTTTAAAAATCCAAGGCTAGATTTTAGTTATCAAATGCATTGAAGTTGTGCACTGCATCAAGTGAGAAATCAGATGCTCTCTCCTCATTCCTCTTCTGCTGCTACTGTAGTACACTATTAGGTATAGAATATTAATTTTTATTAGTGCATCACTGGAGAGGATAATCAGAAAATATTAGATCATGTATCTGGGGTAGTAGAAAGCTTCTTATACAAGGTAGATGCCTAATATTTAGTGAGTGTTGAATGAGTTGAGTTTGTTATATTTATCTGTTAACACAGAAAGAAAGAAAAAAAGTTTAGTTATCTCTAGATTATTCCTTTGCTATAGGCTCACTCTTTTCTTTAAAACTTGAATTTTATAAACCATTTTGTCATCATATAATTAATGAATACTCTTTTATTGTTATTTCTTTTGTTAAGCAAATGCTTGCTTTGTGATTGACTCTTGTATAAGCAATGGCTAGAAGGTCATGTGCCCCTTCAACTTTGTCCCTTCATAAACTCTTTACATATTTGCCCCTTTCTCCTGTACTCTTTCCCCTCAAATAATACATATAAGTTGGCAAATTCTATTCTCAAGTCAGTAACTTATGTTCAGGTTTCTTTAATGTGAAATAGTAATTAACTGGCAGTAATTGTATCGTATTAAATGGCTATTAGCCTGTGACCTTCCAAAATAGTTCATGTTGTTTACCATTTAAATGGAAGCATTTTAAATTGGTTCTCATGGTTTATTTTTAAGACTAAGCCTTTAAAATCTCTAGATATACTCAGTAGAAATGATGTGTTTGTATATATTATACATATAATATCATATATATGAATCTTCTTAGAAAGTGGGCTTTTTCATTGATATTACCAAGAATCTTAATAACAATGTGCAAAATGCTAGAATAAAAGTACCTAGCTTTTGTCATAGCAAAACAGGTTACCTAAAACAATGCAGGAGGGCAAGGAAAAAGCAAAGTATGACCTGGATCATTTGCTGATGTGTAAATTTCATAGAAATTTTAGTAATACATTTGGTTGATTTATGAGAGGTGCATATTATTTGTGTTATAAGAACACACAAACTTTCTATGTGGCATGATTTTTAACAATCTTTTAAATGTAGCAACAGATTAAAAATTAAACTCCCTTCCTAATGGCTTCTATCCTTTAAATTATAAAAGTAATTTTTGTTACTGTCTAAAAGTCAATGAATTGGAACTCAGAAAACTTTCTTTCTAGTTTCAGTTCTGTCATTGAGCTCTCTGGCCACGGGTAAGTCATTGAACTCTTTGGGTAATTATCTCTTGACAAATGTTGAGAGTTGGAAAAGGCTCTAAAATGTTACTTTCTAGGATTTTGTCTTGTGTCTGCCTGTGCATATATATTGAAGTACCCACATATAAAAACTTAACCTCATTTAGATTACACTTAGCAATAATGTAAGTTAGTCAATGAGACTCATGAGGAAATATCCAATAATATGATGTACCTTCCTTGTCGCATTTAACCAGTGAAAAACTGGGAGCTATTGTAGGTACTTTATTGGGACAGCATTACTTTCAAAGGCGCTTTTGTACATTGGGGTACAGAATGAGGCACAGAGGAAGAAACCTAGAACACAGACTTCTCAGGCTTTCTACCATGGTTCCAGGTAATATTAGGAGAGTTCAGAACACACACAGTGAAATTAGTCAATGTTGAAGCAGAAGCAAAAGATATAAAAATACTGGGATGCCTGTTAGTTCCAAAAACAACAGCTAAGAACAATTTTAAAAAACAAAGAACATGAATGTACAGATATCTAGTCAGAAAGACAAAGTTTGAGAACTTACTAGCATGATTTCTTTTTAAAAGTAAATCTCAGTGCTGCTAAGTGTGTAGCAAAGCAGATGTTTATATAGTGACAGTGAGCAATAGTGATGGAAGTTCTATAACATAATATGACAAATGATAAGAACCTTTCATCAGATATACCTCTGCTGATCCAATAGTCTTCTGTCAGTCTGTCCCCCTGTTGGAAACAGAATCTCAGACCCAGATCTATGCACAAAGTGTTAATCATGATGGCATATGAAAGAAAAAGAGAAACATAGCCTTAAATAGTCACAATATAAAGAATTATGTAAGTAATAGAAAGTCTATATACAGTTTGCATATCAAATAGATATAAGTAATATTGTTCTTAAAGATGGTTTAATGATTTTTAAAGTGGGGTAATCCTTATACTCCCTCCTAAAGAGACAAACTTGTATATATAGTCTGTCCCAAATTACAAAATGAAAGTCTCTGATTAGGATGAAAGGGAGTACATTCAATTGTGAAGAGTCTCTTCTCTCCTTATACCATATGGGTTCTGGGGTTTAAACTCGGGTCCTCAACCTTCATAACATGTACCTTTATCAACTGACCCATCTTGTGGGCCCCTACCATGACATTCAGAAACTTAATTTTCTATAAAACCTCATTGTTCTCAGTAACTTCTGCCATCAATATGCCCAATTTTTTATCTTCTCTTGCACAAAGGAAATTACATAGCCTATATTACCCAGTGTGTCTCCAATTGTCCATAACTTCTAAATTTCTTATTATATAAAAAAGTGTTAACCTAATAATAGCATTTTGAGTAATTGAGACAGATGAAAATGAAGTAAAGGATAGTCAATATGTCACTGTAGAATAATTTTATTGGGTGGAATAAAGTACTGCTGATAAATTTATTAGGCACCCTCTTCAAGAATAGACTCTCGGCCGGCTGCTCTCTGTAAAAATGAATAAACATAACAACTTAGTTGGCTCTGTACCCAGAAATTTGGTCGGAAAAGAAACCCAGTTGGAAAGAATGAACCAGATAAAGTATATCAGTTGAAAATATACAAGTAGCTTAGTCTGCCTCTTTTATAACAAAATTGTATAAGTAAAATGCCATTTTCTTTAAAATCTGAATTCCTTACACTAGCCAATGGCAAAGTACTAAAATATCTAAAAGTTTCCAGACCTCACCCTCCTTCATTTCTGCCAGGAAAATGAACCACTCTCTCCCTCAGGCCTCCCCTGGCGTTGACTCGGGACCATTTCCACCAAGCTCATCCCATTTTCAAAACTGTAAATCTAATGAAGGCAGAAACCGTGCTTGTTACCTCAGGTTCTAACAAACTGCATGACTAGTGAGTAGACTGATGAAGGATGAACATTGGAGTCTTGATGATCTCAGTGCTAATAAATAACCTAAGGATAAAGTCACTGTATACAGCCTTGAACCATGACTAACCTAAGTAACACTTAGGCAGGTGCTTTCAGTTAGATGATAGTAAGTTAGGAACATCTTTGTAAGTGAGCATCTTCAAAGAACATTTTTTCCCTGCAAATTTGTGAGTTAAAGCAGTTTAGTTCTTAAGAGCTTTTATAATTTTAATATAATAACTTCTGGGCAGCACAACTTTCTAATTGCTGTGATGCCCGTAAGTTACTAACTACCTGTGAATCTCAAGTTTCTCATCTGAGAGATGGGGAACAGTAATAATCCTATCTCACAGCTGTTACTATGGATATCAGATGAAATAGTGCTTATCAAATGCTTTATCCCTGGCCAAACCCTTGGCCCCTCAGCCAGGATGTCGTACTAGCACACGCATCTAGACTACTGGGACTGAGTGTCTGAACATACCAACTGGGACTCTTACCTGACACACTTGGGCATGGGGAGAGTGCAAAAGCTAGTATGTTGCAGGATACTTGGAAAGCTTGTGTAAAGTGCCCACCTCTGGCCTCAAAAGACATTAGTTGGTTTGCTCAAAGGTAAGACCATGAAACGTGTCTTTGTAACATGTTGCCTCAGCAGGTCTGATCCAAATGGTCAATAGCCAAGTTCCAGGAAACCATGGCATCATACATAATTCCATCCTGGCTTTGATCACAGATCAACTCCAGCCCTGTGGCATCTTCCTCAGAATTTGCCTTGCTCATTGTTATGTGGCTGTGCTAGAGAAGCATTGTTGCCCTCCCTACCTTCCCACTCCACCCCACTAAAGACAGCAAAGAAGAATAGGAAGACAGGGTCAATTGAGAAAACTGAGCGGCTCTGGCAAATTATCAGTTATTTTGTATTATTTGGACTAATGATCTGCATTAGTCCAAAAGTGAGCTGACTTGAGAGGACTGCTTGAACTTTACAACAATAGTTTCCCTCCTAACTGGGAAGGCTGGCTATAGTAAAGTCTATCTCCTGTTTTTTGTTTTTTTTTATGGAATTGCTATCTATAGAACTGAGATGAATAAGCACAATTGAAGTGCAAAGTGTTAAACGCATGCTTCGGTCTAGTCAATGCATTTGCACATTGAAGTAATTAGGGTGTATTTAAAAGCATTCTGCTTGCAATACTTTGTTCTCCATTTCCTACAAATCAAATTAGTGAGGGGTAGATTTGATTTTTACATCATTTTGAAAATATTTTCTTTTTCTTTTTTTAATTTCCTTAGTAATACATTTTTACAAAGTTCAAAACACAACCAACTGTGACTAAATTCATAAAAACAAAACAAAAAGTCCAAAGGAGAAGAAAATGAAAAACAGCACCAAGTAATATGCAGGAGAGCAATGTAGATTATACCTCACAAATGTAACTGTAATTATATACCTTATCCATGTCTGATCAATTAATAACAAATACTTAGGTTGCAAATAGCTCTTTTACATTGAGTGAGAATCTCAAATTCAATTATTCATCTCAATGCAAGTAAGTATGAAAAGAAAGCCAGGTCTGCTTAGCAAAATCTAACCATCTCCCATTTTCACTGTATTGTATGCAACACCGTGAATGAATGTGCAGAAAGTGTATAAAGGCTGCTTTCCTTGCTTGCTGAAAAAAGGATTCAAGCAATATTATTTATTTTTTAAATAAAGTTTGATTTGTGGAACCATCAAACATTTATGGAACTGGTTAGCAAAAGCAAAGACAGGTAAGTTAAAGCCCCAGCTTAAACAGAGTCATCTTTGGTGAGTTATTTTACCTCTCTTAGCCTCAGTTTTCACCCCTGTAAAGTGAGGGTAACAGTGACTGTAACTGGAGTTGTTGCAGCGTGTGATACTGTGTAATGCATGCTTAACAGCTGACAGTCATTAGTTCAGGATATAGAGACTAAATGAGACTACTCTGTGTTGTATGTTCCAGAGGCTATTTAGGGTAAGAATAGGGTAAGAATTTATCAGTATTCCTGGAGAAGGAGTGCTTGTTTTGTTACTGTCTCTGCTCACTCCCAGATTGTTTTCTTTGTTGAAAATTAAGGATCCCAAAACATTATTGAATAATATCCTTTATATTATTGAATGCATAAACCTCACCAATACAAGTTATTATTATATTGTTTTGTTGAGAATGAACAGTACTTTGGGCTGGGTCAGATAAGTGTGGTTTCTACTATAGTTTTAATGCCATATAGTTCAAAAAAAAAGAGAGAAAATAATGGAATTTTTTCTACTTAGGAAACAAAGATGGTGCTCTGTTTAAGCCTGCATCAAATATAGAAAATGTTAGTTGTCTGTTGAATGAATTAGGAGAACATTATATTAAGAAAATATCTTCATAACATAAAGAAGCTCCTATAAGCATTATTATATGCATATCCTTACAGAGTACTCAGAACTTGGCTGTGGCCATCAGTACTTCTTACCTTAGCCCTAGGTAAGAGGACAGCCATCCTTATTCAGAGCTACTAGTTCTTAGTTGGAAGTAGATAAGCCAGAAGACAAAACTGACCTTTACTCAGAGAGATCCATGGACTATCAGCTAGTAAAAGCCATTGGGTTTTCTAATCCCAGGGCCTCTCATTTCCCAGCTGAACAAACTGAGTGATGCCAAAACACTGGGTGGCTAAGTTTGTTGGTACTTAGACTTGAGTTTCCTGATTCTGGTCCAGTTCATTTTAAAATGTACCATGCTACATTTATGTTCCCAGCTGCCTGCCTCCTGGTGGGTTCCATATGCCCACAATGGCGGTTGCTCCTGTGAGCAAAGCCGTACAAGCAGGCACCCAGCAGTATCTCCGATTAGAATCTCCTCATGTATTGTGGCATCCTCCATGCAGCCTAAAAGGTTACAACAAAGAGATGTTTTCACTCTTAAATTCAGAGTTACTCATTAAACATTAAAGAATATTGGGTTATCATTAATAGTTAACAACTGATACAAGTTACTGCAGGTCCTTTCCCAGTGAGTAGTAGATGGAATTAGAGGAGATGGAGAACAAAGAACATTTATCATTTGAAGGAACACTGA